TTTTTTCATCACTCGCCATTGCCATGTATGAAGACTATGCACAGTTTGATTAAGAGTATGCTTAAATCGAAGAAAATAAATAAATGTATTCAACTAATGTGTTGATTCAAATATATTGCACATGAAATTGAACTCAAAAAAATGTGCTTTAACTCTTTCATGCACCCTGTAAGCTAAAAACACGGCAAAATGTCCACTGAAGTAACCCTTTCCCTGAAAGCGTTAAGAATTGACAATGCACGTTTGACTCTAGTGAAAGTTTTTTTGTGTATCTAATTCATATTTTCTTTTGCGTGACCATTCGTAAGAGCTTGGGTATCACGAGTGGTCATCATGCCACACTTGGAGAATCACTGGTGAAAAGTATCTGAACTGTTTTCATCTCGACCCAGGATGATTACATTGATTAATCCTGTATAATTAATAATCATCATTTCACTGTAAAGGCAATAAAGTTGCATCTAATTTATCGGAAAAACACATTGGATTGCCTACATTGCATATTTTGCAAAGATAGTCGATAGCACGCATCTCTTCGGGTTTTTTTGTTGTTTGTTTTTAGATATTATTATGTATAACCTTAATCAAACTATGTGAATTGTTATTTTTCAAATGAAAGAGAATAGTAAAAATGTAATGTCATTTGATTTCTTTTGTAAGTATGTTTAAATCAACAATGACGGACATACAAAACCTTGCTCGTGGCGCCACGTCAGCGTCTAACATATTTATGAACAACTGGAAGAAATAAAAATGTTAAAACCGATGAGTGTGGGATTGTCAAATTCACTGAGAACGTTTGCAAGGATGTTAAGAAAGATAAACATGAAGTCAATCATGTCAAGCGTGTCAAAGCTCCAACAGCTTCCGGAATCATTTAAAATATGCATTGTGCAAGATTGCTGAATGTAAAACAACAAATATCAAATGTGAGAAATTTTCGGGTTTTTCTTTCAGCCATTCACACGCTGAATTATTTCATCACAACGACCTCTCAAATTCCAAACCTACCAAAGTACTGGGAGGTCGCCTATGTTGATGGCCTTCAGATTGTGCGATTTGACGGCAACAGCAGGAAAACGAAAGCCAAACAGGACTGGGTGAACAAAATCGCAACAGAGGATCCACACTTCTGGGCGAGAGAGACATGCAACAGTATTGCCAATGAGCAGGTTCTCAAAGTCAGCATTGAAAGCGTGAAAAAGCGCTTCAACCAAACTGGAGGTTTGTTTCCATTCAACGTTCTGCTCGTAAAACGTATTGGATGTGCTTGTACACTTTTTTGGGGGGGAGGAGGGACGAATAAACACACACATCACTGCTGGCTTCTCTCTGAAACATCCTGTGCATGACACTTTCAGGTGTTCACATGATCCAGAGGAAAATTGGCTGTGAATGGGATGATGAAACTGGTGAAGTTGATGGTTGGGAACACGACTGTTATGACACAGAAGACTTCATATCATTTGAGCTGAAGACGATGAGATGGATCGCAGCACATCAACAAGCTTTCATCACAAAAAACAATTGGGACCGGTTGGATTTTTTAAATGAACACTGGAAGCATTTCCTCACTGAGATTTGTCCTGCCCAGTTGAAGAAGCATGTGAGACATGGGAGGGACTTCCTAATGAGAACAGGTACAATGGCCTCTCTCACATATCATTCTTTCATTTGTCCTCTCGCGTTCTCTCTTTCCTCCTCTCATCCATTCCCTTCATCTGTCGATCACATCCTCACATGCTCTCACTTTCTTTTATCCCATTGTCGCACTGCAGTGAAGGTTGTTTGTGTTTGTCTCGTGACTTCCTGTTTTATTTCGAAAGACTTGCCTTTCCTCCTGTGCCAGTCTGATTGT